ATTAGCTGGGTTAGTGAGACTGGCTCAGAAGTAGGGCAGAGTTCAGAGCTTAAGGGTTGCTTATGAGTCGCAGGCAACTAGATGACACATAACAACAACAACTTTCATATTTATATAAATTATATTTATATTGCTTATTATAAAGAATGGTAAGTGTTATATTAATAAGTTAAAAATTTTATTTTTTCTTTTCATAGAATGACACTGAGTAGCAAATAAAAACACCATGACTGAACTGAAAAAACGATGCTGAAGAAGAAAATGTTCGATTTTAGTATCTTTAATGACACTTTTCCTTGATTTCAACTATAACTAAGAACCACCCAACACACAGTCACTGAGTTGATTCCAACTCATGGTAACCCTTTGTTGGATTTATAAGGCTGTAAATCTTTAAAAGAGGAGACTGCCCATCTTTCCCTCAAAACAGCTGGTAGATTCAAACCATCAACCGTTCAGTTCACAACTAAACACATAATGCATTATATCACTTTCATTTGGCACTGGATCCTGAAAATCATGTTGGTGGCCCTTATGGATATGATTTTAGATTAAATGCTCAGGAGAGGTGTCTTTAAGGAGATTAGCAATAAGGAAAGAGGATATACTTGCCATAAAATAACCTAAACTTAAAAAAAATAGATGGTCAAGATCTGGTGTGAAAAACAATGCACATGAACTTTATCAGTAAACCAGTATAAAAAAAATATTTAAAAACAAATCCAAAAACAACAACCAAAAATAGATTGTCAATTTAAAAAAATTTTTTTTTAATTTGGGAGTGAAAAGGAGTAATGGCAACATGGGGAAGGCCAAGTCCAACCTTTACTAACTGCATAAGAAGGAACTGTCCCCACCACTAACATTCACAGTAAAATCTGATCCCTATAAAGTCAGACAGGACACCTCCCATCTCTCACCCCTATCCTGCATCTAATCATTGGATCCAATCCTCATTGCAAATTGACCACTCAGACTTTCCAGAATCTCTTTTTCTACTTAGAGTTGTGTGGTTTTTTCAAGAAATAGATTGAAGAGTGGTAGAGGCAAAGTCCAAGTTTCACACAATGAAAGTCCAAATTTAGTGAACAGCAGTTCCAAGCTGTATTAATAAATAGCAAGACACAATTCCTCTATTACTACATATAGTTTCTCAGTCAACAGGTGAAAGTCTAGATTGAGTCCACTAACACAAATATAAGAAGTCTCTATTTTGCTCGATTCTTCAGCAAGTTTTGTCACTTAACGGTCACTAGTCAACTCATCTTTCAGTCATCCAGCAAGCAAAACTTTTAACTCTTGCTCTATCTCCAGGGCTCCAGCAGGCTATGCCTTGCCATGGTCTTGTTACAGTCTGATTAGCTCTTCTTTATGTTGACCTCACAAGCTGTTGGTGGTGTTGAAAACACTGTTCAAGGGATGAACCATGTGTCTGCGGTTGAGGCAGCTGGAGACCACGCCAACAGGGGTGGGTGGGTGGCTAAGATAATGAATAAAAAAGTTGTTCATAAAAATCTTTACACCACAGGAAGAAAATGACTAACATCGAGGGAGATTTTTAATTTTGTTACACTATCTCTTCCTAAAACCAGGCCATGATCAGTTGGTACCTGCATTAGATTCCTGTTGTTAGGTGCTGTCAAGTCAAGCACAGCTCATGGCAACCTTATGAACAACAGATCTGAATGAATCCTGTCTCCTCTTGTGCCAACCTCACAATCTCTAACACACTCAAGTCCATTGCTGCAGTCACTGTGTAAATCTACCTTGTTGAGAGTTTTCCTCTCTTTTGCCTCCTTTCACATTTCCAAGCATGATGTCCTCTAAGGAATAACTACTCCTAGTAACATGCTCAAAGTACGTGAGAAGAAGCTTCAACATTCTTGCCTTCAGGGAGCATTCTGGCTGCACCTTCTCCAAGATACATTTGTTCGTTCTTTTGGCAGTCCTAGGGATTACCTTCATAGACTGCATAGTGTAATTGAGGGGACAAAAACAACACCCTTATTTCTTTGATTACAAAATTTTGCACCTGCATAACAGCTTTCCATCAGGCTTCGGAGACTGCAAAGCCCAATGGGAAGAGACCGTCTTTTTCCCTGTGAGATGCTGGCAGATTAAAATTTATAGCCTTTGGTTTTACAGCCCAGCTCTCTAAGGACTTTGGCATCAGAGTACCCTCATATTCAATTAGAACCCAGAGGGTCAGCAAAGGACAGGAAGATCCTCAATAAGATGGATTGACACAGTGACTGTAGCAGTGGGCTCAAGATGTTGGAGATGAGGTGGCTGGCCCATGATAGCATAAGGTTCATAAGCATTTGTTATTCATAGGGTCACCAGGAGTCATACTTAATTTGACGACATATTATAACAGCAACAACTACTCATGTATGACTGCCTGTTTACTGTTAACAACTTTAAAGATCCTATTTCCAGGAGGAGGGGACGAGGGTTAGGACATGAGTGTATCTTGTTCTGGGACTATCCAATCTGTAACAGTATCCCAAATCATAGCTGTTATTGCTGATAATGTTATAGTCAGAAATTTGAAGCCAGAAGTTGATTAGAGACATATTTTGGTTGGTTTGTCTGTTGTTATTTAGTGTTTTCAGTTCAACTCCAACGCATGGTGACCCTCAGAGCAATCTGAACCTTGTCTTGGCCTGCACCATTATTAAGATCTCTATCACGCTCAAGCCCATTTGCAGTCTCTATGTCAATCCATCTAACGGAGACTCTCTCTCTCTTTTTTTTTTTTCTTCTGATGCTCTCTCTTTCCCAGCGTGATATCTTATTCCAAGGACTGACCACTCATATATTGTGCTGAATTTGTTGGCATTTCCAATGAAGGCAATTTCACATAAAGATCTGATTTTTCTCTTTATTCTCAGAAGCCACAAATATGCAAGCAAGCAAACAAACAAAACCCCCAAAGCTGGTGGCAATGAGTCAACATTCCAGCAGGGCAACATTCAGCCAGAGCTGAGGATGGCATCTGCTTTTGCATGGGGCCTTACTCCCTATTTTGTCACTTCTCACCCTGCCTGTTGCTCACACTTTAGTTATCCTGCCTGTTTTTATGTTTGTGTCACTCACTGAAATGCATATGCAGTACTATTATTTTAAATGAAATTTTTTTAAAGTGTTTGTTGTTGTTATGTGCTGTCAAGTCACCTGCGACTCATAGAGACCCTATGTACAACAGCCCTAAACCTAGTTCTATCTTGTGCCAATCTCACTGTCTTCGACACACCTACACCCATTACTCCAGTCACTTAATCAATCTATCTCATCGAGGGCCTTCCTCTCCTGTGCTATCCCTCTACCTTCCCAAGCATGACGTCCCTCTCCAAGGACTGGTCCCTCCTTGTAACATGTGCAAAGTATGTCAGATGGAGTTTCAGAATCCTTGTTTCCAAGGAGCAGCCTAGTTTCACCCTCTCCAGGATGATCCTGTTTGTTCTTCTAGCAGTCTATGATATATTCAATACTCTTCTCCAACACTACAGTTCAAAGGCATCAATTCTCCTATCATCCCTAGTCATTGTCCAGCTCCCTGATGCCTAGCTAGTGATCGCAAAGATCATGGCCTGTATTAGGTGCACCTTAGTCTCCAGACTGACATCATTGCTCTTCAGTACTTTGGAGAGGACTCTCACAGCAGACTTTTCCACTGTGATATGTCTTTTTTTATACTTTTTGAGCTAAATTTGCTTGATTTTTCTTGCTGTCAATGCAGATTATATGAATCCAAGAGTCAAGGTGGCACAGTCCAACTGTGGGTGGATGGTCTGAGAAAGAAGGAGCACTGAGATGTTGATGGGTAAATATTGAGGCAAGAGAAGGTTTTCCCACAAGGTTGCCAGATGAATTTTCCTATTAAGTTAATATATAGGATAGTTACCACCTTTGTTCTCTCTCAGTTTTGCTCTGGGATAACAAATCTAAGGGACAGAGTAAGCTTAACACTATAATTATATATTCTGAGGGCCTTCATTTATAAAAACACCTCATTGTACCAAAGAGTGCTGCTTTCTCAAACCCATACTACTGTATGTATTTCTGCTGAGTGGGTAGATTAGGTTTGTGATTTTAGATGGTAGGTAAGTGGGGCCAGTGCCTTTATTTGAATAATGCCATGTTCTATTATACCTTTTTGTATGAACCCACATGTTTATTTAGAACAATGTGTAGGGCAGTCCACAAAAGACACTCTGTGGTAAAGCTAATAAACGCTGTTTCCACAGAGCTATCTAAAGGCATGTGGAAGCACAATAGTCACAAGCAGAAATTACAATGGCTTAATGTTGTTAGAATCCAGGGACTGGGAGGAGCCTTTGGAAGGCCAGAAGGGAAATAAAGTCAGTTTGGAAGGATTTACTACACAGCAGGTCTTGGTGAATATTCAGTTCTGAGAACACTTGGCAGTACCAGGGTGCAGTTCATTTACCAGTGTCCAAGTGCCTTAACAGAAATGCATTCAGAAGTTTCAGCAAATCGTTTCCATGCCTCACACCGGCTGGCAAATGGGTGGGCGATGGACTGCAGAGCAGCCCAGCTGCAGACAAACCAAGGAACCAGTTTAGCGTGAATGACTGACTCCTGGAAGAGAAGGCTTTTAGGCAGGGGGCTAAAGAAAGGGGTCAAAGTCCAAGCTGGAGAGCGCATAATGAGGCTTAAGGGTGCAAACAAAGCGGAACCATAGCAGCAGCTGGCTGGTCCTTAGTGCTGCAGGGAGCATGGAGCTTGGATTTTAAATAGGACACAGGCACCAGGGCGAGCATTATCTGATTGATTCTCACAGAAGAGCCTGTAAGGGCGCTCAGGCTCCTCGCCTTCGGGCACCGACAGCCCGCGGCCCGCAACCCGCCCCCAGCGCCTCCCTGCCTAGCAGCGCCTGGCAGTGCCCAGCCGCGGCCAGGGCGGGGCGCCGGCTGGGGGCGGGCGAGCCGGGCAGGGCTGTGCTGTGCGGCCGCCGCTGACGCAGTGCGGGCCGCGGAGCCCAGAGCGCCCCGGCGGGCGTGGAGTCCCCGTCCCGGCCACTGGGAGGCCGCGTCCCCACCAGAGGGGGTAGGGCGCGCTTATCTCGCCGCCAGGAGGCTGCCAGGAGGCTGCTCCGTGGTGGCGCTCGCCATTCAAACCCTCCTCGTCCCCGCCCCCGATCCTGGGGATGTGTGTTGTGGAGGGGGGGAGAAGGGGCGGGCGCCGCGAGCCGTGAATCACCTCCTCCTCCGCCTCCTGCCCCAGCGACACCGCCACCTTTCCATTCAGTCTCCCAACATGGCTGGAGCGCGGCGGAGGTGAGCCTGCCGCCCCCTGCCGCCGCAGCCTCCTGCCGCCGACAACTGCAGCTCCGGGTGGTGCCGAGGCCCAGGGGCCACTCCAGCGCCAGCCGCCAGCATGCTGGGCACCTCGGACGAGAGCTCGGTGCGGGTGGCTGTCAGGTGAGACCGCGGCGGGGCGCGGGCTGCGGGCTGCGGGCTTCTGCTCCGGCTGAGGGCGCCACCGCCGAGGTGGGACGGTCGGAGGGGCGGCTCGGCTGGGCACCGCGGGGCGTGCAGACCGAGGCTGCTGGTCCCCGCCGGCCGGGCGTGCGCGGTCCGCTGCTCGCGGGAGAGCCTGCCGCCTCACCGTGGCCTTTGCAGGTGGCGAGGCGGCTGGGAGACGCCAGACTCCCCGGGGGTGTCCTGACTCCTCTGCCTTAAACCCGGCGCCACCCGCCCCAGCTTTCAATCGCCTAGGCTTGGCTGCTTTCAATGATCGCCGATCCCGCTTTGCCTGGGGGAGCAGCCTCTCTCGTGGATTGTGCTGTTCTTTTTCATTATTTATAGAGTGTCATACGTGAGCATGCAACTCGGGTTCTTTTCTTTCTTTTTTTTTTTTCTGGAGGTAGAAGACAAAGCATCAGGCTAACAGCGCTTTCAACCTCGGGGCCCGTTGGTGCACCCACTTGGGATCTAGACATTTGTGCACATGAATGCCTAATTATCACAGCAAACTAAATCAGCATAACCGTATGGAGGTATAGGAGACAGATTTGGTCTCTCAGGTGTTGGAATGGGAATTACATTTAAGGTAGAATTCACCCAATGTAGGTATGCAGAAGGAAGAAAACTAAAGTGGAAGGATTAAATAGATGGGTGGGGAAAGATCCTTAGGTTAAGCAGGATGTATACAATAAAATAGTATATCCTGTGCATGCGATAGTGGCATCAAAATTGTCTTATGATTCATGACAGATATACAAGAGTATTGCCTGTAATTTGGACTGTTTTGAAACATGAAAAGCCAAGCTCTGACAGTTGTTCATGGAAAACTGCAACATCATCACACTGAAAAATTGATGAAGCATTCATGGTAGAATAAGTGCATTGCTTTCACAGCTCTTTCAGCCTACTCTTAATTCTCTCCTATTTATTTCTCCTATAAGGACTATAAAAATAATCTGTCTTCCAAAATTTGGAAATGAAAAAAGAACCGATTTGACCCATTCTGGAAAGTCATTTCTAAAGTTCTGTCGTATGAGCATTTCTGTAGTTAATTTTGTTGACCAATTTTGATCAGGTGTACTAATAGCACACTTATGTACCTGGGTCTTTTATCAAGGGAGCTTTGGTGGTGTAGTCCGTAGAGAGCTGTGCTCCTAATTAGAAGTTTGCGCCCCTCTGGTGGTTCGAATCCACAGCGCTCTGCAGAGAGAAAGATGGGCAGTCTTGATACTCAGGGGAGGTTAACTATGAGGCAGATCCAACGAGACAGTAGTGAGTGATCTCGAATCAATTTAAAGAGCTAAATGAATTTAAAAGTCCCCTTGCCTTCCTTCATCTTACTGATGAGAAAATTACCACCTATGAAGATGACGATTTTAGAATCACCTGTTATTAAACTTTTAATTTGGGCTTCTTGGTTAGTCAGGGGCTACTCATTCAATTTTTAGATGAATTTGTTGCTCTGTTGTATCTTTTTTTACTTTTAAATACATTTTAATAATTATACTGGGTTAAAGAAGTGGAGAAGAATAAACTTGCTGGGAAACAATTTTGTTACTTATTAGCAGATCTGGTGGAAGAAAAGGAAAGAGCATAACACATTAATAAACATAAAAAGTTCATCTTTGGAGAAAACCATTTTTACATATTTTAATCTGTAGGTTATTTAGGAGTTGATTGGAAGCAGGAGTGGCATCCACTTTCTAAACAGAATGCCTCCAGAAACTGTATGATCTTTGATAAATGTTGATGGTTGTAGATAGACTTAAGACCTTTTGTTCATTAGGGTCGCTGAGTTGTGCTTAACTCAAAGGCAATCACCACCACCAACAGGACATCTAGACTATGAGGGTCACTTGAGATGGTCGGAAGCTGAGCTGTAACCACAAATGATTGATAGACAAATAAATTTTATTTTGATATCCTTGGAGGCAAGGATTCTGAGGCTTCTCTCACATACTTTGAGCATGTTGCAAGGAGGGACTAGTCCTTGGAGAGGGACATCATGCTTGGGAGGGTGGAGGGACAGTGCAAAACAGGAAGACCCTTGATGAAATGGATTGATTCAGTGACTGGAGTAATGGGGGTGGGGGTGCCAGAGACAAGGAGGTTGGTACAGGAGAGAGCAGGGTTTAGGGCTATTTTATGTAAGGTAGCTATGTTGACTTGATGGCACATAACAACAAACAAAGAAGCTATTAACACTTTTACATGTATACCCATTTTGGGGGGGGATTGTTTACTTGTTGGGGGGAGGTATGAGAAGCTTTAAAAAACTTTTAACAGAATTTAGCAATCCATAATTTGAGGATTCATTTTTATTGAAACAGAGCTACTCTTTAAGCAAACATAAGATAAAAACTAAAAACCAGAATGATTGTTTTGGAGTTAGTTTTAGCTCATAGCAACACTCCACCTGGTTTCTGAGTCTGTAAATATTTTTAAAGAGGAGAGTGCCCGTCTTTCTCTCAGAAAATGGATTTGAACTCCCATCCTCTGGTTTAATAGCACAAAAAAATTAACACTTTGTACCAGTGCTCCTTTACATAGGCTGAAAGTATACAGATCTTTTCATCACTCTTTTCCTGACTTCTGCCCTAAAAATGGCTACAATTTGGAGATCATCATGTGCTAAGAATCCGTTCTGTGTTAAGATGTTTTATATCATTTAACATCTCACTTAATTTCTCTACAGATACTCAGTTTAATAATCTTTGAGTGAAACACTGTTGTTATTATAGCCGTTTTGCTGATGAAGCCTAGAAAGATAAAGTACCTTGCCAAAGTTAAAATAGTAGCAAGTGGCAGAACCACAGTTCAAATCAGACAAGTTAATTTTGTGACTCAAGTTCCTAACCATTCATGAACACTTCATAGCTGAGAAGCAAAAAATTCTTGGCAGAATTTTAGTTTTACTTAAAATGACTTGCCACTTTCTGGTTTTGTAACAGTACAATTACAAATAAATGACCTTGATAGTCTATTTATACTCTGACATTGCTAGAAAAAGTTGAGTTCAGATAGAGAGGATATGAACTTAAAATGTTTGGGAGAAAGACATCAGAAATCAACTAAGATAATTTTTAAAATTCTTTAACCTTTCTTCTTCCGACAGTCCTGTCTTCCAGGTTATGGTAGCCTTCACCAGCAGTATAAATTAATCCACATAAGGAAACAGTCAACTGAGATGTTTGACCTGCTTTCCCTCTTTATGAATAAAGTAATAACAGAGAAATTAACTCTACTTGTGTAAATTCATAAGTCATTTTCGAGATACCTACTTTTTATTATTAGTATGTTTAGGCTGATGATTCTAGCATAAATTTATCAAAATAAGTATCTGGGCCAGATAGTGCTGTGAACAAAAAAATTATGTAAAGTTTCTCATTTTAGAGAAAACATTTTTCATTCAATTTACAAAATAATGCTTTTTGGCAGAGTATATCTGAGATGTTTTCATAATATCTTTCATTGTATATGAATTCAGATTATATTCAAGGTCTGTTTTCTAACCCTATCAGTGTTGACTGATCACTTGAATTGTGACTACTGAGAAACATTCTGCATTTTAATTTAAAAACTAGTCCTCTAGTCAGTTATTGGAAAATCTTAAAATATGCTTAGAACGAGTTATTTGTGAATCTCTCTTTTTAGCTGAAATCTAAATAAGGAGCTCTGGTGGGATGTAGTGTCCACTACCTACCTGTATCCTTGGGGAAAAGATGGGCAATCTTCTCCCATGCAATTTACAGCCTTCAGAAAACTCACTGGTGGGTCAGTTATTAGTCGGTTCTGACTCCACAGCAATGAGCTTCATTTTCTTTTTAATGATGATTAAGTGTTTTTGGTGAAACTATATTGTCTGAATTGAGTTGTGCTACAAGTATAAAACCTAAGATAGATTTTTAAAGATTTAATATGAAGAAACCCTGTAAAAATGAATGTCAATTATTGTGGTAATTACATGCTGAAATAGTAGTATTTTGTGGAGCTTTGGTGGCCTACCGGTAAGGAGCTGTGCTGCCAATCTGAAAGTACATGGTTTGAATCTGTCAGCTGCCCCCTAGGAGAAAGATGGTCAGTGAGCTTCTCCTGGGAGATTTATTGCCTCTGAAGACCTGCTGTAGGGTTGGGTATGGGTTGAATCTGACTTGATAATCAATACTCAACAGCAATATTAAATAAAATGTTACTAAAATTAATTTCATGTGTTTCTTTTTCTTTTTTAAAGGTCAAGTTACTAGATGTCTTAAAATGACATGTGCCTCATATATTTCTATTGAATAGTACTGCAGTATAATTTTAAAAATATGAGGAATAAGTATAGAATAAAACCGTTGTTTTAAGTGACTCTATCATTGACTAACCATACCCTTCGAAAAAGGAAAATATCATTGCCTCTGGGGGGGTGGGAGGGAGGAAGTTGCGGGGGAGAAAGAAAACACACATATAAGAGAAGACATTTAGCAATATTTTTCCCCTTTTGGGTGCATAGGTGCTGATTATGAACTCAATATGTCATTGATTTCCTAGGAAATCTGGTCAGTTGAGTTTTAGATATGACCAATTAAAATCAATAATGAAATATATTGTATAATATATTCATATTCTCTTAATCTTAGTCTTAGATGGGAGGTTGATTTAACTCAAAGTAATATACCAATAAACATTTTGACTTGAAATCTAAGACTTTACAAGATATCTCCTTTGCCCTTCCTTGTCTTTAATGACGACACAGATTTAAAGCTCTCTATTCAAGAAAGTTAACTTACAAAACATGGAGCACTCCATAGAACTCACAAACCGCCAAGGAAATAACTCACGCGGTTGCAGGGACTGTCAAGTCCCAAGTCTATGGGTCAGGAGTCAGGCCGGAGGTCTCTTCTGACTTGTGATTGCAGGCGTTGACACATCCAAATCAGATTGTATGACAGACTTGTGACTCACAAGGCTGT